TTTATTATTAGGATCAGTTGTTAGTGATTGTAATTTTTCACCTACTGCTTTTTGTCTCTTTGCACAGCCAGCTCTTTACTGGAGTATTCCTTCCAACTCTAAATGGAAATCTGAGGTAGAATTTTTTTATTGTTCTTTATTCCTTTCTTTTGTTTACCTTCCCCCTCCCCAAAACCTTCTCGTTCTCTGGAAGGAGCAGTTCCACATCTGCTCTCTTTCTTCCACTCCAACTTGCAAGTCTAAAGCCGAAGAGACAGTTTCTTGAATCTCATGAGAAGCCTGGTGCAAAGATACTTTCCAAACTTTCCTGTGGCCCCTAAGGTTGTCCATAAATAATGATTTGAAATGCTACATGTGTGCTTTATATTTTCCCAAAGTTTCACTGGGATTTTACTTACCGCTTTTGAACATCTTAATTTCACTTGCTCTGTCACAGACAGATGAGGCCCAGCTTAGTTTGGTTTCGGAGCTGGTACTTAGCCCAAGGTCTCCTATACCCAGTAATACTGGTAAGTGGTGCGGCCTGTCTGCATATGAGCATCTGACTTTGTGTGAGTCCCCCACCCTTTCCCAGTGGCTCAGAAACTCACATCTTGTTTTCACTTGGCCTGTGTATACATTTGATTTTGCCCATCTCAATGTTTCTTCTGTCAGTCTCAAGCTCCCAGTTTTTGACCTCAGATACCTTTTTTATTTTGTATTTTTATTGACATTTTTTAAATTGTTGTTCAAGTAGAGCTGTCTCCATTTCCTCCCCACCACTTCTCCTCACCCCAGCCATCCCCACCTCCCACCCTCCATCCTACTCCCTTTTGACTTTGTCCCTGTGTCCTTTATACATGTTCCTTGACAACCCTTCCCCCTCATCCCCCAACATTCCTTCCACCCTTCCCTCTGGTTGTTAATTTCAATGTCTCTGGTTATATTTTGCTTGCTTGTTTGTTTTGTTGATTAGATTCCACTTATAGGTGAGATCATATGGTATTTGTCTTTACCACCTGGCTTATTTCACTTAGAATAATGCTCTGCAGATCCATCCAAGCTGTTGAAAGGGTAGGCGCTCCTTATCTTTAATGCTGCATTTTATAAAGGATCTTGAGATTTATGCCTTTTACATCAGATTATCTAGTGTATATATTTTGTTTTTACATTGTGAGCTCCATGCAATAGGGAATGTGTCTTGTGCTCAGCATATCCCCGGACCTTTCTGTAGCCAAGGTGGGGGCATAAATGACTGTGTGCTTTTGGCATTTTGGCTCTTTAGTTAAGCAGTTAAGCTTTTAATGATTTTTAGAGTACTTAATTGATGATTTTGTCCCCTTTCATGGAATTATTTTGGAATAGGAATTATTTCCCCTTCATGGTGGAAACTGGAACAACTTTTTATAAAGTTAAGTCTTGCCCCATTTATAGTACTATCTTCCTTTGCTAGATGATGTTAAGGAAGTACAATGCAGACCATAAAAAGTTATATTGAGAGGCCAGAAGATTAGGCAGAAAAATGATACTGATTGGGATTATTAATTAAAATATTAACATGTACCATTGAAATACTGAAATACTTTCTTTTACCTTCTCCCAGAAAATATAAAGAAGGTATAATTAAATTGCAATTAATTCTGAGGAAAAATTAAGTGCTTTACTATGGGGTCCTAATTGCACTTACAAAATTTACTTCTATAAAAGGTCAAGAAGTACCCAGCTTTTCCAAAGACCCATTTAATGAAATGACTTTCAAAAACAAACACTGTGGAAATAAAGATAATAATGAGGCCCATAAAATTTTATGCTCTAGTGTTTAGGTAATTGCTTGTTAAATTAAGATGGTATTTTTTTTCTGGACATGGGTATAGCCCTCTCTTTTTTGGTTAAGAATATAATGAAAGTTTTCTTATAGTATGGTTGAAGTCAATTTTGTCTATTTAAAAATTATTGCAATATTAATTTTACTGAGTTAAACTAATTTATAACCAATTTAAGACAATAAAATAATTGGTTATATAGTACTGTTATCACAAAATACATTGATTCAAGTTTGCACATGTGAAAAAATGAAGGTTTGCTTTGACTAATGCAGGTAAACAAGAACAGGTTTATATGCTTCCTTTTGCCAAATTATTTTAACAAAATAACTCAATAAACCTATTACTAAATGGTTACTGTAATATACTTAGAAAAAACTATTTAGCTAATAAATCATTTTACTGGGCATCTACTTAAAATAATTTTTTAGAGCACACTCTTAAATCACATTCATATTTGGAAACATGGAGTGTGGAGAGAGTGTTTTTATAGTATGGTAAAATGTGAGTATATAAATATTTTATACTTTAACTGTAGATGTTGATATGCTGGTTTCCTGAAATGGGATGTTATATAGTGATGTGATCCTGCCGTTTCCTTAAGGGCAGAAGCAAGTAAAAGTGTGTTCTTTATGATATACAAATGTAAATACAGTGTTTCACGGTGTAACTCTCACTTCATTATACTTGAAATAGAATCTCTCTGGTTCCTGTCTTAATACAAGTTTATTTTTAACACAACATGCTTTGCTAATATAATGAGAAAACACTACATAGTTTAAAATATTAATTGCTTATGAATATTTTAAACTTTATTTTTTAGTACTTCTTTTATGTTCCTTTTATTAAGCAGATGGGCAGCTGGAAGGTCATAATAGGAAAAGCATCACCATGAAATGAATTTAAATTGTTCTACTGAGCAGACTTCATTTGTGCAAACAGAAAGCAAGTCCCAGAAAACCAATTTAATGGTCAGAAAAACTTTAAGGTCTAATACTTCAATCAATTCTTATGCTTTCGTTTCTTGGATGAGTACAAATGGGCCTTTAACTGTGTGTTTAAAAAGTGAGTTGATGCAATGCTGCACGTTTGTGCTTCTGCTTAAAAACATTTTCCAGCATCGCTTTTCGGCATGAAGAGTGAGGCAAAAGTAGCTATGCAGTTGTGAGTACGTGAAACTCATATTTGTGTTATTATTTATTAGTTACTTTATTATTTTCCATATGAACAACTGTAAACCTAGTTTTGCCCAACCCTGTATTTTTTAAACCTATTTTGGCTTTAAATTGCAGATAAGATAAATGAAACATAAATTTATGTATATAATTCATCAAGTTGTTTAAAGTAAGTGCATTCTTACTAGATTAAAATAGATGTTCATAAAATTTTAAATTGTTTTTAAATATAGTTTCACTAATGATTATGAATTTTGATATTTTTGGTCTGTTACATGATATCTATCTATTCGCATGCCCCCTATTTTAGGTACATACATTTAGTTGTTAGAGAACTTAAATATATCTTTTCTACTATAGTAAATAGCAGTACTAATATGATGATGATGACGATGATTGTTTTAACATTTACTGAATATTTTCTATGTGTCAGACAGCATATATAACTGATTTACGTGCTTGCTTCTAAATGAATGAGAATTCAGGTGTTCTTTGTTTTCACAACTAAATGCCAACTCAGACATTTGCTTTTTCTAATCACTCTACTTAAATTCTCTCCTCCTCTTCATGTCCTACCATTGGCCACATGGTGGTGGCAGAGGGGTCTTTCTTTATTAGTCCTCTTCATTCACACACAGAGAGGGTTAGAAATGGAAAAAATGAATCATTTGTTCCTCTGGTGATTGGCACATTCATCACATGATTTTTCCACACAGTATTTAATGAGTATTTTACTGCACCTTCAATATGTTAGCATGGAAATGAAGTTGAGGGTTAGGTGGTGGGAGTAGACCATGAGTATTGCGGCATGTTGTTCATTTACATATAGTAAACACCACATCAGTGGTAGTAAAATAAAGAGTAATACAGGTCATCCTCACTAAAAAGGAAAGGGATGGGGAAAAAAGGGAACTTGTAAAAATAGACAGGCCCCTGTTACCATATGCCACATGTGACTTGATCTGGCAGCAGGAAATCTCACTGATCATAACGTGCTCCCTCAGGACCCTGGACACTTCACCTTGTCCCACTTTTTGGCCACATGCCAGTCACTGCTCCTCAGTGACTTCTCTGACACAGCTCCCAGAGCAGCAGTCTCTCTGCATACATTTGTTTTCTGTGAATCTGAATTTTGAAATATGTGATACGGAGAAGGAGATTTACTCCATCCCGATCATGATCATCTGGTGAGAGAGGTCAGCGCTCTGATTCAGTCTGTTTCCAGAACGTGAGTTTCAGGGCAGCAGTACTTTGTCAGTTAACTAAGACTGTTGGATAACTACTTTTTCATTTTAAATTGCACTTTACATTTTTATATTGAAACATATTATGGGGTGAGTGAAATATTTCCATTAATTTTTCACATACAGCCTGGGCTTATTAACATTAATATTCTTGCTTTACACCAGGAGTTTGTAGAAGATATATCTCCTTGAAGAATGCTTCAGTATTTCAGTACTGAATTTGAAAACCTTTCTCATCAAATTACCAACTATTTTAGTAATATGATCTGCTGGTGGTGTGTTTCTCATATGTATTACCAGAATAAAATCTTGGTTTTTCAGAACTTACATGCTTACTTTTTCACAATTATCAGAACTAAATAAGTCAGCACACTCTTTTAATTATGTATTCAAGCAAGTTCAGAATTAAATTTTATGAAGTCTTTTCCTTGTAATTGTTTTGAATTATCCTGTTTTATATGTATTTTAATTTTATAAACACATTCTTTTTGTAAGTAGATAGATTATGTTATTTTGGCAGCATATCTTCACTTTTACTTTACCTAAATAAAATGTGAATGAATGCTATTTTTGAAATTACAGGTAGGGTTTGGCCCACTCACCCCCCCCCCCATCCTAATATACATTATGTTGTTTGGGATCCTTCAATGAGAATTATAATGGAATCTTTGTTTTTTCATTTTCTTTTGAATTGCTCAATACTGGATTTTAACTGATGACTAGACAATTTTTTAAAAGGAACTAGCAGTGGTGTTTAAAGTTATTATTGTACTTTTCAGCAAGGCTAGAGAAGATCTGCTTAAAACTCAGAAAGAACGAGATTTTCATCGAATGCATCACAAGCGAATAGTCCAAGAAAGAAACAAACTAATTAATGATCTTAAAGGGTAAGCTGCTAATATTTGTTGGCATATCTGTTTGCTTATTCATTCATTTATTTATTTAATTTATTGTTCTGTCCCAGTTGTCCTGCCTTTTCCCCATTGCTCTTCTCTGCCTTGTATACCCCCAACTCCCACATTTATTAAAGAACTATTTAATTAGTGTTTTAGCAACCTGGTTATGGCAGAAGGTTTCAGGTAAATTTATTTAATATTTATTGAGTATATACCATGTGCCAAAGTCTATACTATGCATTTGTCATACAAAGATGAGTAAGTTTAGGCTCTTGCTGTCCTGTACTCTCCTGTCTTCCATGGGAGCTCGGCCATTTCCACCTCGCTGAGGGCTGACTGTCACTTTTCCTGTTTCTATGAGGTGCTCCAGGAGTGAGTTCCCCTCATTCACTGGAGTTCTTGCTCCAAGACATGTAAAATTCAGTGTTTTAAGGAAGCGGTTCAAGGTCAATTCATGATTGTTTATCCAGTCTTAGTGTACAGCCCTTTTTTTCAAGCACATCAAAGTTCACTCTTTGGGGTACCCTGCTGGTTCCTGTTAGTGTGCGCTGATTACTTCTTGGAGCAGTTTGGATATATAGTCTCTTTCTTCCCTTGTCAGACCATTAGCTTGGCGGTCAGGAGAAGAGGAAGTAGGAGGAGCTCCAGGGAGAGATCTTCCACTCCCTGGCGAAGAGGTGTCTAAGGCAGCATTTTCTAGGGAAGAAGGGCCAGCCCACAGGTCCTTAGAATAGGGGCTACGGAACTAATATCCTCAGGGGCATCCTGAGAACCACAGAAAAAGAGGTATTTTCATATAAATAATCAGAAAAGAGTCAGTTCATCAGGAAGACGAATGCATGAATCTAATAGCTGTATAAGAGTTTCAAAATATATGGAGCAAATCATGATAAAATGGAAAGGAAAAAATAAATATTTCCACATTTACAACTGGAGATTTTAACACTCCTTTTTTAGCAATTAGAAAAATAGGCAAACAATTCTCTAAGCCTATAGAACAAGACATGTTAATTGAGCGTAATTGACCTTCCTTGAATTCTATGTTGGACTTTGCAAGTGCACATGGAATGTTCACCAAAATAGGTCTGATGCTGAGCCATAAAATAAGGCTATTAATTTCAAAGAATTGATGTCATGTAAAATATATTCTCTGATTTAAAACAATTAAATTAAAATTTGATGATGTAAAGCTCTCTGGAAAGTTTCCAATCACCTGGAAATTTCTGAGTCACATTTCTGAGTAACCTATGAGTCAAAAGAAGGACATAAGAAAATATTTTGAACTGACTGATTGAAAATACAGAATTTAAAAATTTTTCAGATGAAGCCAAAACAGCACTTCAAGTGAAATTGATAACTTTAAATGCTAGTATTAGAAAAGAAGAAAATTTTAAACCAGCAATCTAATCTTGTACCTTATAAGCTCAAAAAAAACCCCAGAAAATAAATTAAATACAAAGAAAAAGACATGAAATAATAAAAATAAAAATTTGTAACAAATTAACAAAGGGACAAGCATAAGAGAAACAATCAACAAACTCATATATTGGTTGTTTTACAATATAATAAAACTGAAAAAATTGATAATGGAATTGAAAAACTTTCAATTGACTAACCATTGGCAAGTTGTAGTATAAATTACAACCCAGGAATTCATCTATGTATTTTGTTCTAAAAGAAATAAAGCTCTATAACCAAAACATATCTTATGTGACTGGTATAAGAATGTTCATATCAATTTTATTTATAATATCCTCAAACTGAAAACAATCTGTTCTTCATCAGCAGAATATTGCATTAATATATTTTGGATTATATATACAGGGAAATACTACTTAAAATAAAAATGAATGAATTAATGATAGGTACAGCAATGTGGAAGAATGTGAAAAACATTATACTGAATGAAAGAAGCCAGTTTCAAGAGAACATATTCTATGATTCCAACTATATGAAGTTCTAGAATCTCCACAGATACTAGAAATGCTCTGTATTTTAGTAACAATGTACACTATCTGGGCATGCTTATTTTACAAATGATTTTATTTATTTATTTTTAGAGAGCCTGAGCTGGAAAGGGCAAACTCCCTGGGTAATCAGGCCTGAGAAAGGATATGTAAAATCCTGTGAAGTCTGCTTTGCTAAGAATGCTCTTAGTTAAATAATAAAGGCCCAAGCAGGAAATGAGTTTGTTTCCCAAAGTTTTGTAGCCTTTTAGCTGATAGACCCTGACTCAGAAGAAGCCCTAATAGTTTTTTGTATGCGATCTACTGTTTGATCCTTACTGCCTGACAATGATTAATGAGCTGTACCTGTATTCCTAGACAAATTGAAACCCAATAAAAGCCTGTTTAGGCAAGGGTCAGCACTTTCTTCCCTTGACAGGGTGGCCAGGCCACTCTGAGGCCCTCCCCCCTTGAGGGAGTAGCCACACGGTCCCCTTTCCTCCACAGGACTCGGTAGTCTGTGTGAATTTGTCTCATGTCTCATCCATGACACTGCTCTGGGCATGCATATTTATGAGAACTCTAAACTGTGATGTTTAAGATCTGTACATTTTATTCCATGTAAGTTACACTTCAATAAAAAAGTAAAAAACTATTTTAAAAACATTTTTTTTTTTTTAAATTTTATTTAGTTATTTTCGATAAGTTTTTTCTTTCTCAGCACCCCTTGCCCATGCTCCTCCACCCCCTTGTTCTCCTTTCCTTCATTTGTTCTTTCCTTTTTATTTTTTTAGTTGTTGTTTTCATTTGAAATAAGACAGATTCTTAGAGGTGTTTATATCATAAGTTTAGTCACTTATTCTATGAGATGTCAAAATATTTTTATACCTTGTTTTCTTAATATGAGGTTTATCAAACTTGCATTCAAGAACATCCTTTAGCTTATTTTGATGTGAATGACACTTTCTGTTTAGTCATCTTTTGTTTGTAATCCTTGTCTACTTAAAAATTATTTCTTAATTCATTAAAGGAGTCATTTTTTCCTCTTTCAGTGATCTTTTGAGTGCATATTTAAATATAGAGAATTATGACTTTTTAACATGTACTTAGGTTGCAGGGAAGTTGTATACTGTATAATACTTTTTGCACTTCTTGGCTCTGTTGTGTTGACCTTTATATGGTTATTCATTTTTTATTCTGATGCAAAAAAAGCCAGAAGAAATAAAATGTTCAGATGTTAAATGGAAATCACTGATTTAACTGAATTACCCTTTAAGATGCCCTTTATTTTTCATAGGTTGAAGTTACATTATGCATCTTATGAACCAACTCTAAGGGTGTTACTTGAGAAGCATCAAACTTTACTGAAGCAGAAAATGATGGCCTCCTTGGAAAGAGACAAAGCGACCAAGAAGGTAAACAATCAGATACCTCAAAATTATTTTTAACCTTTTATTTTTTATAAGAAAAGTATAGATACTGGTTTTGTTTCTGAGATAAATTTTTAAAGTTTTCACTACTTTTCATGTTGTAAAAAAGATGTATTTGGAAATATTCAGAAAAATAATTTTATCAATTTTAAATATTTTATTTTATTAAGACATGCCTTAACCAAGTATATTTGGTCTTTTATTGAATGTAAAGTTTAGCCAACTGAAATGGAAAACATCATTCGTGAGTCTTTGTGTTTGAATTTTAATTTTGTTCTCTTGAATGTTAGAATTGTATTATTAGTACTGTTGCATAAAATGAGTTTAACAGTAATTTACATGTTTATGGCGTTTCAGGTCACACCTTCAGTGATTGATCTCCTCTCTCCTTTTTATCTAACCTGCTCCCCAGCCTCCTAGTAAGAGCCAGTACTCCACCTCTTGGTTTCCTGTGCTCTAGATTCAGTTTGTTCCTACTTCTTGTTGCCCTGTGGCCAGCTGAAGCTTTCGCTGCCCATCCTGTTCTCCTTCTCCTCCTGGTCTCATGCTTATGTTCCTGTTGTCCTTCTCCAAGAAGGAATTCACCAGTGACCTGGCCGTACATTCCCAAATGACCATGTATACTTTGGCATCTCCGGCAGACCACTTGGACTGCGTTTCACAATTCAAGAGTATCAGGGCCTTCCAGGCATCCGTGCTGGCCAGTGCCTGCACTCCCCTCCACATTGTTGATTTCCACATCTGCAACCTGTCCAGCACTGGGTCTGCCACTCAGTTCTCCTGTCTCTAACACGAGGGGAATTTCTGTGCTAGATCAAAGGCCATGTTGAGAACACATTTAGGGCACATACAGTCTTTGTGTTTCACATTGCCCCTCAGTGGTGTCTAGTTAAAGGGGCTACGGACCGGGGGTGGAAGGAGCCACGTGAACCTTCAGGTTATTTTACACATAAGTGTGTTTTCTCACCTATTAAACAGACGAATAACTTGCCTTATAGTTGACATTTATCTAAGATGAAAACGTTTAAAAAATTAATATCACTGTTTGTATGAGGCAGGGTTGAGTTTTATACACTGCCATTCAGATGTTCAAAGGATTTTGCTTTTATTATCTGCAACTTATTTTGTTCTTGAACCACTACCTCTATTGAAGGCAAAAGAAGACACAGCCTGTTATTAAAGATTGTTCAGATCTTTCTGGGTTACAACAGTCTCTGACTAACATAGCATGTTACAATAACTGACTGTTTAGTATCAGTGTTAATTTTCTATCTTCAGGTGGCATCCTTTTCTCCACATTCTTTCCAAGACGCACTTGTGCACTGATACAAGGGGCACTTTTGTATCCATATGACCTGAAGTCTACATGCTGTCCTTTCAGCCTTCACTTTCTTTCTAATGACGTGTAACTGGTTTGGCCATATTCCTAGTGTTAAGGTACATGGTTCTGGATAATTCTTTTGACTGTGAACTTAACGTGCCTTGTGGAATACAAGACCTCTCTGCTGTAGCACCTGTGAGATCCTTAACATCTGTGGCCTCACTGTCCTGACTCTCATTCTTGTTCTGGTTCATTGCTTCAGATGTTAACATTTTCACATACACTATTGAGACATTGTGTGGCTTCTGATTTCCCTACATTGCAAACACAATCATGGGCAGTTTAGAAACCACCTAACATATATCTACATTGATACACCTCCTGCAGTCAATTTTCAAATTCCACCTGGAGAATATGATGTTTATCCAACACAGTCTCTTTAACGGGGTGTCGATTTTCCTAGGCGATTCCATGAAAAGCTAAGAGCAAGTATAGTCTTCCTGAGCTATCTGGCTTTATGTGCCCTTTGCTTCTAGCTAGCCCCATTTAGATTTCTAGCTTGAGAGGTGAATCAGGTCATTCATATCTGACCTCATGCTTTTTCTCCTTCTCAGGGACAGAACCCTGTGTATTTCTTTGTTCTATTGGATTGGATATCTTTCTGTCCTCTTCTGCGTCACTGGGCATCTCTGGACAGCCTCAGTTGTCCTAGACCATTTTGATTTATACCTGTTATTGAAGGGCCATTATTAATATCTTCCATTTTTATCCTAAAACATCCATTTGGATAATCCTAATGAGGAAAATTTAAAAGTTTATTATCTAAAAAGGTGCTGTTAGGATTTATAAATATCTTTTCTCTCTTTATCGATTCTGCTGTTCAAGATGCTAGATTCGTTATAGTTCTGGAAAGTCAGATTGGAGTGGTGATGTCGTTTCTGCTACCTGGGTTTCACTGTGGCCAGTGCTAAGACTGGGCACTCAGGTGCTCCTTTAGCTCTGCTTTATGGCTGTTGGTGGAGACGGGATGTGGCCACTGCCATTCTCAGGGTGAATTCCGTATTGCGCATAGTTCCTCATATCACCAGAATTTTTGTTGACTATCCAAAATGGATACATGTTATTGATGGAGCCTCTAGAATATTCTTAGAATCCTAGTTATGAAAAAGGATTGTGGCATCTAACATACACAGTGAAAGATGGAAGACTCACAAGTCACTAAATCCAGGTTCTGAGTGGCCAGAGTGACTGTTAGATGTTCTCTACACTGGTCTAACCCTAGGATCAATTAGCACATTGTCTAAACTGGGACGGAGAATATAGCCTCAGGTGGATCAGGTCAGTCTTTGGAGAACACGCTGAGGCTACCATTTAATAAGCTGAACAAACCCTGTCCTGTTTATTTTCTGAGTAATTTTTACCAGGTATACCCTGGGTATGCAGCCATGGATTAGCCTTTTAACTTGAATCTATTAGTGCATCATAAATCTGTGGAATAAATTTACTCTGAAAATATATTGAAATGTAAAGTGAAAATATATTAAAGTATTTGAAAAGTTTCTCTATGGTCCAAAATGGAAGATACCAATTTTCATGCTTATTTTTATTATGTCTCAGTGTTTTGATATAGTTATGCTCTGAGGATTCATTCACTTCTAACACAACTTTTATGACATGGACTAGAATAATATGAAGTATATTGTGTTCTCTCTCTGGCTTCCTCAGCCTTGCTTCCTTAAAAACCTTATTTTAATGAACATTGAGTTTATTATGCTTTTCTGTAAACATATAGACCTCTCAAATATCTTGTATGAAAAAGGATTAGAATTTTAATATTTCAAATGCTATTTAGTTTATATATGAAAGACTGAAAGTATACTGTGAGATGTTTGTATATACTGTGAGATGAGAAAAATCTGTGTTTTCAGATTATTTTGATAGATAATAAACAGCATAGCAACTTTGAAATGTATTTAAATTTTTTAGAAAAATCTATAATTTAAGTTTGACAAATGTCCAACATTCTGATTTAGAGCACCATATTTGAAATAAAAAATTTTCATTTGTTAACATGTATGTTTAATAAATTGTATTTTATCATTATGGGGCCACAGGGCTCTAATTCAGGAGCTATTCTAAAATATGTATAAATATATATTCTTAGGTGTGTCTTCTGAGAAGATGTAGAAGTAATTACACTCCAACAACAATGAGTAAATCCTATGATCAGGTATTGGTTTCTAATAGCATTCTTTAATAAGATGAAATAGGGCTTCTTGCAGAAGCAGCTGATTGTAGGCTGGGCAGGAAAATATAGGGTAAATCTGAAGTGTTTAGAGCATCTAGTTATGGTAGGAAGTTGGGAAATGTTCGACTTGTGAGCAAAAGAGGAAAGAAGGGGAGGGGGTTGGGAGGAAAAGAGAAAAGAACAGAAAAACAAAAAACGAGGTATGTGAAGGATTTGTTTTGGGCAACTACAGAGTTAGATGGAGTACCAACCAGATTCGTTTTGAGTGTTGAGCCTGATGACGCAGACACACTAAGGAGGGTAAGAATGCAGTTTTTACTAGATACTTGGGTTCTCTAGGGAAGACAGCACAGGCCCGTCATGCAGGTTTGCAATGGCTGAGAGACCAGGAAAGGAGGCTCCTTGGGGGTTTTACTGTGGTTAGGATCTGAGGCCAGGGTGAGAGTTCTCCTGTGCAAAGAGGGGCTTGTGAGGTTTCAGTCTTCCACCAGTGCTGAAGGAGGGAGCTTGCCCAGACGTGGGACACAAAGGGAAATCGGAGTGTGAGCTCTAAAAGCCGTCAAACACAAACCAATGGAGTCAGGTAGGAATCAGCCTGAAAGAGCTTGCCTTGGTCAAATTTGGAACAGTTTGAGCAAGAAAATAAATAATACAGTATTGAATTGTAACTCGCAGTATAAAGTAAATGTTCATAATGATATAAATGAATGGGAGATAAAAGAATAAAAGGGAGATGAAAAATACCTCCTCAGAGAATTCCAGTGACATGTGTAGATAATCATTCCCTTGAGGAGGTGGAGCTTAATCCTTCAACTGTTAAATGTGGCCACACTTACTGACTTGCTTCCAAAGTACAGTGGAACTGGGGAAAAAAGTAACTATACACTGGTGAGACCCGGCAAATAGTACTGCAGGAAGGTGATCAAAGTTAGTGTCATGAGTGTTTAGTCCTGTCAATAGCACGTGCCCTTGATGTGATGTGCTAATGGCATCTCTCCTTGGGGGCATTCCTCTCCCAAACCCGTAACTATAGTCAAACCTTGATAAAACATCAGACAAACCCACGTTTATGGACATCCTGTGAAATGTTACCTGGCCAGTATTCATGGGATCCTGGAACAGAAAAAAGGATTTGGAAGATATTAATGAAATCAGAATGAAACATGGACTTATGTTAATAGTACTGTCCCAACATCATTTCACTACTGGTGACAAAAGCTCCACAGTAACACATGATGTGAGTGAGGGGAACAGGGTGCAAGGTGCGCAGGGAATCTGGACTCTGCTTTTGACTCTCATGTAAATTCTACACTACTTTAAATAAGAGGTGTATTTAAAAATTTTATAGTGCATTTGGCATCCAAGAATAGATATGAATTTTTCACTCTTTTTTAAACAGGCATTCATGAGCACCAGTCTATACATTCCAACTTATTATCTATTTTCTATTAATAAATAAATGTTGCTGCTCAGCAAAAGAAAAATTTTTGTATCTGCACATAATTAAACACATGGTATTTGTGTTGGCATAATCATATACAGTGAAGGATGAGATAACTTTTTAGGTTGAATTTTAAATTTAAGTCTATTGTTCAGAATATACAGGGAATGATATGCCACCAAACTAACAAGTGTTCTTAATTACAATATATGTTTAATAAAACAAGGAGCCTCTGTGGGTGGAAAATGAGCTAACAGTTTTGGGAGTAACAGTCAGTAGTCTCTTCATATTTTACTTCCTAACTAATAACTACCTCATCTTTTATGGACATAACGATGAATTAAGTTGTGAAGCAGTTTGAACAGAGGAGAAACCTCTCCCAAAGTAAAGATCTGAATGATCATCATTCAAAATGTGCAGTGAGTATTCTTGATTCAGGGAACAATGCTGTGAAATAAATGTTTCAAATGCTTACCCATAGCACGTGGTACTTGCCTGCAGAATTTAGTTTAAAGTTAATAATTATCTTTTTTTGCCATTTGTGTTTAAAATTTTTCAATACATAGGACTTAATTCAAGAGAGATTAATATATTTTTTAAATATTTTGCAACCAATACTTAATATACTACATTTTTAAACTTTCTGAGTCACTTAGTTTATAACTTTATGTCTTTGGATTTTATTTTTTAGAGTCCTGGACCTGAAACAAAATTAAAGCATATGGAACCAGGGCATAGTTACCAAGCTTCTAAAATTAGAGGTAAAAGTAAACTGTAATAAAACTATAATTTAATATTAGTTGGTGATTTCACAACCTTACCAGGGCTCAGAATTCTAGAGCTATTTAAAAGTGAATAAATGGTGTGGTAACTATTTTACAAATTAAAATGTTAATGAAAAGATCAAGAGGAAGTACAGATGTGATACTATATGGGTTAATTTTAGCAAAAAATCTAAGTAAACCATAACAGGAAGATTTCTGGCTGTGATAGAGTACCTGGTGTAAGACTAGTCTTCTCCTCATAAAAAAACCAAAACTCTGAAACTAGACTATATATATATGATGCAGTGGAATATATGTGTATATGGGTGTGGGTATAGTGTGTGTGTGTGTGTGTGTGTGTGTGTGTGTGTAATGTTGGACAGTGGAAAATAGCGCAAGTCACAGGAGGCGAGTGACAAGGAAGTTGAGCTTCATCATCACTATGACTTTGTGCCTTGGGAGTTTTCCAGTCTAAGCTTCACGGAAATGAAGATTAAGAAGATCGTGTCACTCCTACAAGAACTGAAAAGGCAAGCTGTGGAAGCAATTAGAATCTGTTGGAAAAGGACACCGGATAAGAGAGTCCTCAAAGAGTCCAGTTTGTGAAGAGAGAGAGTCTAGTTTGTGAAGGAGTTTACTTTGAGTCCTTAATTGATGGCTGGGCTACATATGCAAGACTACGTGAGACCTGTCAGAAAAGATGCTATAGGAGTAAGAGGACACCAGAGATGCTAGAGGTCAAGCAGTGATGGAAGACATTGGACTTGCAGCCACGCCTGGATGGAGAGACCTCTTTAATGCCCTGGTAACACCGTATTAACATTCAGCATCCTGTGTCCACCTTGTAAAACCAAAACAAAGCTTATACCAAATTCCTAGAAGAACTAGAGTTTAGAGTTTGAATCTTGGCAAGTGAGAGCCTTGGGAAATATTTAGAGATTTCCATGGATCCACCATAACAAAGCATAAAATTAAGCCTTGAAATTCAAGGTGATCAAAACCTTAAACTGTGTGACACAAAAAGGCAGGCTGCCATGTGGGATGGGGACAATGGGGGACACTGAGGGGCCATTAGAGAAGAAAAGGGATAAAAGGACTCTCGCCAGCCGGTCCTGAGGAGGTTCCATGCGGTTTGGGATTAAGAACTGGAGATCGTGGTGACACAGCTGATGGTGCTGGGAACTGGGGAGACTGGCCAGCCAAGCACAGATGACTGGGATGACTGGGAGGAGCCTGGAGAAGTGAGCTGCGGACTCCTCTTTTTTCCTTCTGGACGGCAGTGCTTCTGACCGACATGCTCTGAGGCTGGCCAGACCGGCACACTGGGGACAGCAGGACTGTGTGTTTGTGGGTGTGTCTTTGTTTCTAAAGGGAGTGAGATTTAATGATAGAATTCCATCATTTTTCTAAACATCTATAACTTTTAATTAAATAGCTCCTTTCTTTTTTTACAAAAAAATTAAACTGTGCTAGAACAAACATTAATACCCTTCAGATAGATAGTTGTCTGTTTGCTTTATAATCTCTCAACTATATTGTCTTGTATATAATTAAAATGTTTTAGATATGGTATAGAAATGTGAAAAATATAACCAAAAATTAAGACAAAAAGCAATAAATGGAGACCCACACTGATATGGCTCAGGTGTTAGATTTAGCAAATAAAAATACTAAGCAGGCTATTTTGAATATGATCAAGGACTTATAGGAAAAATGACGTCAATAAGTGAAGAAATAGGGAATCATGACAGACAAATGGCAACAAAAAGGAAATAGAAATTCTAGTACTGAAATATACAGTAACTACAATGAAAGTTTATACTTCTCAACAGATTGCATATGACCAAAGTATCGGTGAATTTTATGAGATTAATCAAAATAACCTGTTGTAAAAAAGAAATAGGAGGAAATGAAGTACCATATCTTTTGGACTATAAGACACACTTTCCCCCCCAAATTGGCAGCGGTGGAGCGGGGTCACAGGTTACTAAATATTTTACCACATATTTTGCTTCAAAATTTTTTTTCTATTTTCCTCCTCTAAAATCTAGGTGCATCTTATGGTCCAGTGCATCTTATAGTCTCAGAAATATAGAAACATATATGTGATTAGAGTCCCAAAGGAGAAAAGAATGAGAATAGGACATAAAAATACTTAAATAAAAGATGACCTAAAATTTTCCAAGATTGATGTAAAGCATCAATTTACATATCAGAAGAAAAAGCATCTGACTATAAACATCTAAAGAAAATCATGCCTAGCTGCATCATATTTAAACTGTTGAAAATTTAAATGAGAAAATCTTTTTTGTTGTTGTTTTGAATTCTATCTTTGTTTATATATTTATTGCTGTTCAGTTCCAGTCATCCTGCCTTTTTCCATTGCTCTCCCCTGAGAAAATCTTGAAAGCAGCAAGGGAGAAAAGAAGTTACATAGGAGAACAATACAAACCAAGGCTGATCTCACATGAGAAATAGTGAAAACTAGGAATAGTGAAATGATAGCTTTAAAATGTGGCAAAATTATAAATCAGATTTTATATACAATAAAATATTCTTCAAATATTAGGGTGAAATGCAAATATTAGGGCTGAGAGATTTTGTTGCAAGTAATTGTGAAGTGCAGCGAATACTAAAGGATTTTCTTTGCACTGAAAGAAAATGCCAGAAGGAAGCTCATATTTACAGAACAGAATACAGAGATTAGAAATGCTAAATTCTGGTTAATCTGAAGATTAAGTTTTTCTCTTCTTAATGTCTTTAAAAGAAAATGACTGAACTCTACACTTTAAAAGTATGCCTTTTGTTGTATGTAAATTATACCTTAATAAAATTGATTTTAAAAAAGAATGATGGAAAACTCTAAATAGTAGAAGGACTTTGAAATGGTAAATTTTCTTAATAAACATACTATTGTGTTATTTCCAGATGTCTATTCACTGTGTTCTCTAATTAATTAATTAAGGCTTAAAAGAAATATGTAGCATTGCTGTATTTAAAATGTTTTGCTTCGCTTTGGTTCAGTAGTTTCTTTCCCAACATTCTATGTTAAAGAAATATCAGTTATGCTCAGCGACTCCAACAGAGCCTGTGCACATGGACGTTTATTGCAGTTGTATCCATAGTAACAGAACAATGCAAGCAAGGTTAACCTCTGACCACAAGTGCATGTTTAAATGGAATTGATCATACGATGCTAGAAAGTCTTTAAAAGTCATGTGTAAGAAAATACTCATTATGTTAATATAATTTTAAGCAATTAAATTTTATGTACTATGAGGGTTGTCTGTTAAATATATGTAAAACACACATCACACACAGATTATTTTCTATATTTTCTTACACAAATATAGAAAATAACTATATTTTATACACAAATGTAGAAAATAACTTATCTTTTTTAAAAGATTTTTAAAGTTTATTTTTAGAGAGAGAGGAAAGGAGGGAGAAAGAGAGGGAGGGAGGGAAACATCAGTTGTGGTTGTCCTTTGCACTCCCCCTACTGGGGACCCAGCCCACAACTCAGGTGTGTGCCCAAGACAGGGAATTTAACTGGGAACCCTTTGGTTCACAGGCCGGCTCTCAATCCACTGAGCCATACCAGCCAGGGCTGGTCATCTTTTAAGTTTGTACCTGTTGACCAACATCTCCTCAATTTCCCCAACTCACACCCACATCTTTAATCAGAGACCCAAATGAAACACCTTAGCCTTGAAAAAGAAAAAGGTACCCAAAGGGTTAACAGTTATGGTTATTGTGGAGGAATTGTGACTTTTCTTTTGTATGGTCTATATTTATCATGCATCACTTTTACAAGTTAAAAAATAAGAATAAATGTTGCTCTTCTAATTAAAAAATATTTTCTACATTTTTTTGCTTACTGCATTTGCTTATCTGTCTGTTTACATCAACAATTATGTTTCATATGTAGGTAACCTTTATATAATTGGATATAAATATGAGAAGATAATATGAAATTGTCATACTCTTAGAAACTCTAGCTCCCAAAATAAATAAAGATTGTGAGTGAGAAATAATATAAAAAAAAAGGCTTAAAGCCTTTTGCAAAAGGATGTCAAACTTATTTACACCGGCTACATCAGCGTCACAGTCCCCTTCAAAGGGCTGAATGTAATTTTAGGACTGTATAAATGTAACTACTCCTTAACTAGGGGCAAGGAGCTCGGCGCTTTTGCCGGGTAGAAACAAGGTGCTGGGCTGGATACAACGAGGTGGGTGATTTGGCCTGTGGGCCTTGTATTAAAGGTTGAGGAACTTTGTGCATTTGGTTGATGCTGTATCAGTTATCTCTCATGCTACATTTTACTGTAATAGTGTATGACTATATATGTTTATTCTTGACATCACTATTAAAATAAACTAATGGTTTAGGTAACTCCTTTGTGAAATCATCTCCTGGTATTTAATATAATTGAAAAATGAACACATTACAAGTTTTTCTAAGATGACATTTATGTTACTTTGCATATCAAGTTTCTAATTATATTTTTTGATCGATGATATATTGAAATAGCTTTTGATCAGAGGGAATACATTCCTATCCAACATAAGAAATAGCTTCTTTTAGTTGAACAATTCTAATTATGTGAATGAAATTAATTTCTTAAATCCTGCACTGAATAGTTTTCGTGCTCCTTATAGAACGCACTCTAGTTTTAGACACAGGACTTGCAGTACCTTTCCTAAGCTTCTGGTGTCAGCATTTGACTGTGTGATCTCAGTATCTGTCGTCACTCTGCCTGCTGGATCAGCTTGGGTCCTTCCTTAGCTAGGGATAGCCAGGGATTGCGATTCGAGAAGTGGCTGTATTGGCTTAGTGGTTGTTGCTCATAAAGACTGGGGCCCTTCACAGTAATTTTCATATAGTTAACACCTTCCCTCTTCCTTTGCTCATTTTAGATTAATTTTGAAAATATCTACTTTCTGTTACTTATCTATCTATTTACTTCAGGCAGTAGAAATTTTTAAGATTAAAATTGTGTTCACTCTGTAGTTCAGGGAAAATGAATTGATTGTTGACTGAACTTTGTGCAAAGGAAAAGTTAATTGTCATTTAATTCAAATTTAGAATATTTAGACATATTGGACTTATTTGGAGCATAATTATTAAAGGAATTTAAACATGTCATATTTTTGGACAGTCAGAGTGAGGTACTAATTTTAAGATGGTAAAATATACTTAAAATGTTATCCATTTAATTGCTACCACCAGAAAGAACATTGTCAATACTTTAGCACATAACTATCTCACCTGAAATCATTTTTAATTTTATATTTATTTTCATGTGGCATATAGAATAATAGAAAAAATTCTAGGAGAAATAGTGAGTTATTTACTAGATATTTGAAGTCACAATTTTGTACTATTTTTTATTGTTATAAAAATAATATATATCAAATATTTACAAGAAACCACACAAAAAGCACTTGAGTATTACATATTATAAGATAAAACTTTTTTGTGCAGATTGCTTACTTTCAAAAAGTTTATGAACATGCCAGTTTCGATTGTTATGTTTGTGTTAGTTAATTTATATTACTTTGATTTCCTATAAGGTTGCAATTTGAATGCAAAAAAAGCAGGTTGTAAAGATATGTATCATTGTATTTTTTAATGTAACCTGTAATTTATGATAGGGAATTGTGAATTCAAAGCAAACAGCTAGCAACTGGAAATGTTTGGTGAGATTTAAAACTGGAAGATAACTTCCAGGGGCATTAACCGAGGAAATGGATGTTGTGCATAGTAAAGTATTCCTTAAGGTTTTTAGTTCAATTAATAGCTGCTTTTTCGAAGTTGGGTATCTTGTTGCTGCTCAAAATTGTATCACCAGATGCTAATTTTGAATAACTATATGGAGTTTATGGTCTAGTTTAGAAAGATTTACTAACATTTCAAATATAACCTCGTCTGCTTTACCTTTATTACATTCTCGATTTCCAGTTAGATTTCCTCATGTTAGCTTACATCTGTCCTCATGTTAGATATTTTCTAGTTATCTTTCCAGGCTAGTTAGGGCTAATTTCTTAAAAACCTTTTTTTCAGTAAAATAATTCTCCTTTCAGCTGTGTATAATCTATAAGAAAGTTAGGGAATGGTATATTGGAGATGCTGAAATATTTATTTGTTACATGAACGTATAAGGTCTGTCCAGAAGGTCTCCAGCCATGTAATATGTGAAATTGAGACACTTATTGAGAAGACACAAGAAACATTGCACATTGGACAGTGGTGCCTTAGTCACCTTCAGAGTAGGCACCTTGGGACCTCACAGAGTTTTTCTAGTCACATTCAGCTACCTTGTCTTATTTTTCAGAATCTCATCAATGATCTGAAATCTTTTCCCTTTCAAAGGTGATTTTGGTTCTGGGAAAAGCCAGAAGTCACAGGGCACCAAATCTGGGATGTGGGGGGGCCGAGTCACCTGGGTGACTTGATGTTTTGCCAAAAATTTCTGCATAGGAAGTCAAGCATGAGTGGGCTCACTCTGGTGGTGAAGCTGCCAATCACCAGGTGCCCAGAGTTGCAGCCTTATCTGAATTATCTGAAGAGTTTGTGCAGAGGAATGTTCAGACTTAACCCAAAATTTGATGCAGGTTCCTTGCTCTACTCATTCAGTCATTTTGAATTCGATGGCCACACAGGACACATGCTCATTCAGTGGGGTCTGTTGCCCCCCACTGGCTGGTACAGTGAAATAGTCACATGCAGCATTCCAGTCCACTCCCTTGGCTGCCTGGTTACATCGATGTCACTCAAACCTTTCTTGTTATATTAACAATGGCTGGTCTTTTCTCTGGACAGACTTTGTATTCATATATTTTTGAATATATGAACATGGGGACCTGAACATGTTCAGTTAATGTTGGTAGAATATGTATATCCATGAAGTTGCATAGGTAAAATTTAGCACTGGCATTACAATAAATAAAGTTTCTGGAAGCAAAAATGTGTATATTTGTTTGTTTAATATTTGCTTTATTTCTCTTAAGGATCATACCTTCCTTGAGATGCTGATTGTGCCCAAGTAACATTTAGGGAACTGTATAGCACCAGTTAACACTGTAGGCCTTGTGACTAATAAGCATTAGATGATTAATGTAAGGCTTTCATGATAGAGACATGAACTTTGCTAGTATATTACTAAACATGAAGAAGTGCTGTGTGGTCTATGAAATTTATATGCAGTTAACTATGAATGTGCCACAGACTTTAATGTCTGAGACTTTCATTTTTTCTACACACCTTTCTGTAAGTAAAAGTAATGTTTACCTGATGGAGAGTGCAAATTATGTTTATTCTTGCTACATTGATAAATAAGAAATGTTATTTGTCTGCCAATTTCATATACATTCTGCAGTTTATTTTTACTTTTTGTTTCCAAATGTTGATATTTACCCCTAAAGTATTATTAAAGTGTGAATTTTTGTAATTTGCCTGTGGAACAACTGCATATAATCATAAACCAAATTCTTTTTGGTTTTTGACTTTCATTTTTTTATCCTTACCATTTTTTGTTTGTTACTTTTTATTTTATTTTGCTTATGAAGTGGTGCTTAATAATATTTTGCTTATTACTACCTGAGATCTGCTTGTATTCCAAGAATTACCTGCTAAAATCTTTCATTTCTCCTTTCTTCCCTGTAGTTATTACTATACAGATTCTCCTGGTATATAAAAGAAATAAAAGGTAGTAAACATCACAGGATTATTGACAGGATTTCAAGAAATTTTAAGGCTGTATTCTGGTGGCTGTTATAAAGATCAGTTAGGCATACATGGTTATTATTATCATTATTAGGTTGTCACCCTTGGTCATTGAGGAGGAAAACAATTCTTTTTAACCTAAACAAGCTGTAATTGTTGCCTTTGCCCTGCACTTGGACTTCCCAGATGCTGAGGTGCTGTAACTAGGAGCACCATTGAGTGAGGACAGGCAATTTGGATAGTCTTTCAGGAACTTCCCTGTAAAACTAAGTTACACAACATTCTATTTGTATTTATTGTGGGGGCTATTTTGAGGATTTTCTCTTTTGTCTGGAACAGGTACTGAATAGGAAAGATTAACTGGGTAAAGGAAGAAACTAAATACCACCCGTATGTCCCCCTGCCCTTGTAACCTGGGCTCTTTGAGAACCTTCACAGTGAAACCGTCCTGATATTTGTGTGTTTGTTATCTTTTCTTTATTATAAATCTAGAGCTATAATTTAGAGCATTGAGTTATTTCTTTCATTTATGAAGGGTTATGACCTTATTTTTATTTGGAATCAACTTCCTGTTTAGAAATACAGGAGAAAATTATGTGTATTTAAACATGTATATGTACATGAAAGATGGAAAAAGGAAATATTTTCCTATCCTTTTTATTTTTCCCTCAGATGATTCCATTAGGACTGTTCTTTATGTCCAAGAGAGTGTGGAGACCAGTTTTACAACTGTATTGCAGTATTACCCTGTGTTTCTCTTCCTGTTTTCCTCAATGTTTAGAAGCATAGAGAATAATATTTTATTAATGCAATATTCTTTAAAAAAATTTCTTATTTCTTATCCAGTTCCACTTGGGAAATTTTGATATTGCTTACCATGCTCTGCTTTGACCTCTTCTACTTTGTTTATAAATACAAGTAACTTCATGATAATAGGAATTTGGATATAATGGAAGCCAATTTTCAATTGGCTTCTGTGCTTTCTGACTGGCTTGCCATGCTATTTCACTAACCTTGCAGTAATGCCACCTGCATTTTTGGGTAATGAATTTGAGACTTCACTCACAACGTTTTGGGATGGCTGTAATATTATTAGTTAAAAATAAATGTGTCATGACTTTGGCTCCCATAATAAGAATAAGTGTATTATCTTGTAGTTGTTTCTGGCTCTGAAAAGGACTGTGAACCAGAAGGTCCTACTCAGAAAGGTCTTCGTGAAGCCAGGGAACAAACCAAATGTAAGACAAAGATGAAGAATAATACAAAGGTATGATATTTGTTTTTGCTGCCATTAATTTATACTTAACTCTCAGATCTTCAGATCCATGGACCACATAGGGTATCATTATTTTACTATGAAAGTTGTTTAGAGTGTACATGCTACGAGCCGCTTGGTGTAGAGGTAGAAAGTGGATGTCTCAACTGTTACATAACTACTTGAGGGGTACACCTATTTAGTGGCGGAGACAGCTCAGTGAACCCCTCTGCCATGCAGCCCAACTTAAGCCTGGCCATGTCTGCTTGCTCTCTGCTTAAAATTACCTCTGTCCAAAAGAAACAAGTCCCAGATAATTTCTTACTTACTTATTTATTTATTTGTTATTTTTACTTTTTTTATTGTTGTTCAAGTGCAGTTGTCTGCATTTTCCCCCCAACCCCTCCCCAACCCCAGCCATCCCCTCCTCCCTCCCACGATCCCACCCCTTCTTGGTTTTGTCCATGTGTTTTTTATAGTTGTTCCCAAAAGCCCTTCTTATTTATTTTTTCTTGGTATAACTTCAAACATTTTTTAGTCTTCTTAAAATGGAGAGAATTAAGTCCCATTTAAGAATCTCCTTGTATCTGATCTGAGTGCCTTTGCTTCGCAATCAAGATGATAGTTAAAATTTTCTGTAATGATTAAAGAAAATTTTATATTAAAAATGACTGGTCAGGCCCTGGCTGTTATGGCTCAGTTGGTTAGAGTGTTGTTGGTATACCAAAAATAGAGGGAAGGGGGTGGGGTTGGGAAAAACGTTGATGTGAGAGAGAAGCATTCATCAATTGTCTCCTCTCTGGGGATTGATCTCGCAACTTTCTGGTGTACAGGATGACGCTCCAACTGACTGAGCTACCAGGCCAGGGCTGGTCATCTTTGTGTGTGTGTGTGTGTGTGTGTGTGTGTGTGTGTGTGTGTGTGGTATTCAGATTAATATTTTACTGTTCCTTCATTATCACTCAATTTATGGATTTATGGTATTTGTGGTAGACCCCTTTTCTTGTCAGACGGCTTCCAGCTTCCCCCCCATGCCCGCAATCTCCTATCAGGGCAGACCTGCTCCTTTTGCCACCATAACGCTTCCCCACTCCTTTACCTGCCTTCAGTCTGAGTCTCGGCCAAATAAGCCGTGGTGGTGGGTGACTGTCGCTGCCAGTAGGTAGTGCTTGTTCTGATTTGAGTAATGTTTGTTTATCCACACAGAGGTCTCCAGTTCAGGGAGCAAAGAAAGCATTCGGAACAGTAAAGGAAATAATAGAGTTAAGGATATACATGTGATGATGATAGTGATTGTCATCAGGGACATTTTTATCTTCTAATGGCATAAGCATTCTCTTTCAGGTGCAAAGTCATACTTAAAAATGATTTTTTGATTCATTCCCTAAGTGCTTATGTTTGTGAGACCTTACATTAGTGAGGCCATGTGATAAAAATCTACAAAAATATAGGACAAATATATATTTCTGCATAGTATATTATTTTGGGTGTTGCATTAAAATATGTAATAACTACAACATGACCAACAAATTCAGGTCTTACAATAGAACTAAAGTGAAAAAATAGGGAATTTTTCCTCTCTACACTGATTTATCATTTTTACTAATGCTTAAAAATTTTTTTTCTAGCAAGTTTGTACACTTTGACCAATGCCTCCCCAATTCTCCCACACCTGTGCCCCTACTAACAACCACTCTCCTCTCTGTTTCTAAGTTTGGTTTTTTTAAGGCTCCACATATAAGTGATATCATACCCTATGCTTTATTTTTCTGACTTAACTTCACTTAGCGTAATGCTGTAAAGGTCCATTTGTGTCATCTTAAACAGCGGCATGTCTTTTCTCATGGCTGAGTAATATTCCATTCCATTGTGTGTGTGCATTCCACGTCTTGTTTATGCGTGCATCCACTGACAGATTCCTAGGTTGTTTCCGTATCTTGGACACTGTGACTAATCCTGCAGTGAACTTAAAAGTGCAGATATTTCTTCAAGATCCTGTTTTTATGTCCTTTTGAAATGTATCTGGAAGTGGGATTGCTGGATCATATAGTGGCTTATGTGGAGCATTCTTTCATGCACCTGTGGGCCATTTGTATCTTATTTCTTTGGACAAATATTCAGTTTCTCTGCCTGTTTTTAATTAGATTGTTCATTTTTTGTTAGATTGTTCATTTTTTGTTATTGAGCTTATGAGGTTATGTATATATGTATATATATGTGTGCGTGTGTGTATATATCTATATATTCAGACATTTACCCGTTATCAAATATGTGGTTTGCAAATATTTTCTCCCATTCATTTTGTTGACTCTTTTGCTGTGCAGAAGATTTTTAGTTTAATGTCCCAATTGTCGATTTTTTTCTTTTGTTGCTTGTGATTTTGGTGTCATATTAAAAAAATCATTGATAGGACCAGAGATATGGGGATTTTCCCCTATTTTTTTAGAGGTCTTATATTTTCAGGTTTTACGTCTAAGACTTTAATCTATTTCTAGTTTATTTTTTGAAGATGGTATGAGGTAAGGACCCAATTTCGTTTTCCTGCATGTGGTTATCCAGTTTTTCCAATATCATATATTGACCCATAGTATTCTTGACTCTTGTCAAATATCTGTTGACTGTCTATGTGGAAGTTCATTTCTAGTTTGTCTATTCTGTTCTATTTGTCTGTGTGCCTATTTTTATGTTCTTATTGTTTTGGTTACTACAGCTCTGTAGTATTGTTTGAAACTAGCAAAGTGGTGCCTCTGCCTTCATTCTTTTTTCTCAGGATTGCTTGGGCTATTTAGAGTGTTTCGTGGTTCAGTACAGATTTTAGGATTTTTTTTCTTTTTCTGTGGAAAATGTCATTGGAATTTTGATAGGGATTGCACTGAATCTGTATATGTGCTATACGTTTCACTGGGCCAAGAGACTATAGCAAGGGTCTGACAACTCCACCATTGCATTAAGAGTGTATTAAGGGAACTTGTGAGGTGTGTCTCGGGCAGCAGCAAGATGACATGGATGTCCTCCTCCGTGCTTCATGGTAGGTGCAAAGGTGTTATACAGAACAGGGTGGGACGGATGGGCGCTGGGGCGTGGCCTGCCTCAGCGCAGGGGAGGATGCCTTTCGTGCTTCCCCAGGGCAGGGCCACAGCTTGTTCCAGGAACCAGCACAAACCTTGCTGTGGGGTGTAACGGAGGAGTGGAGCGGACGATCTCTGAGGGGCTTTCAGGGAAGCAGTCGCTGGTCTGGCCAGAGTCTAGCTGGCAAGTCTTGTGCACGTCAGGCAGTGGTCACATCCTGGCACAGTCCTCCACACGGCTTTTGGCAGTTTGGACATTAGAACAGAATCAGTTCCGATTCATGAGAATGGGAGTATTTTTCCATTTGTGTCTTCTTCATTGTGTTTTATCAATGTCTTGTCATTCTCATTATACAGATTTTTCACTTTTGTTTAAATTTATTTCTAAAGTAATTTTTTGATGCTCTTGTGAATAGGATCCCCTTCTTTATTTTTTCAGATATTTTGTTGTTAGTGCTTAGAAACAACTGATTTATGTTGATTTCATATCCTGCAATTTTACTGAATTAGTTAGATTAAGTTCCAGCAGGTTTTTCATTGAATCTTTAGCATTTTCTGTATGTATGATTAGAACATCTATAAATAAAGACAGTTGTACTTCTTCCTTTCTGATTGAGATGCCTTTTATTTCTTCGTCTTGCCTAAGTGCTCTAGCTGGGACCGCCAGTACCGTGCTGCATGGGTGCTAGTGGACAGGCGCCCTTGTCTCGTTCCTGAGCTTAGAGGAAAAGTTACCAACCTTTTACTGTTAGTATGCTGTTGTCTGTGGGTGTCTTGTATATGGCCTTTATGATATAAGATTTGTTTTTTAAATATGCAATTTGTGGAAGGTTTTTATCATGAAAGGATGTTGAACTTTGTTGAATCATTTCTTGCATTTATTGAGATGATCATATGACTTATGTTTCATTTTGTTACTGTGATACCACATTTACTGATTTGCTTATGTTGAACCATCCTTACAACTCAGGGATAAATCCCATTTGATCATGGTACATGATTTTAGTGTATTGTTGAATTCAGTTTGCTAATATTTTATGAGAATTTTGGAATTTATGTACATCAGGTATATTGGTTCATAGTTTTTTTGTAGTGCTCTATTATGACTTTTGTATTGGGATAATGCTGGGCTTGGAAAATTAATTTGGGAGTGTTCCATCCCCTTCAGTTGTTTAGAAGATTTTGAGAAGGATTGGCATTCTATAAATACAGGGTAGAATTCACCAGTGAAACCATCTAGTCCTGACCTTTTCTGTGTTGGGAAGATGTTGATTACTTGTTTATTCTGCTTATATTAGTCTGTTCAGATTTTCTGTTTCTTCATGATCCTTGGAATCAACTCATCATTTCCATATTATCCAATTTGTTGGCGTATAATTATTCATAGTAGTCTCTTATGACCTTGTGTATTTCTGTGCTGTAAGTTGTAATATGTATATCTTCTCTCTCATGTTAGATTACCCTATTTTTGCTGTGTATAGTGTGAACTTTCTTGCCCAAATTTTGGAGGGAACAGTAAGGATGTGCATTATACATGGGCAGTACTAATTCCATATCTATATAAATGTTTTAATTCTTTTATTTATGCTTATGCATTAAAAGTGTAACTCTAGAAAGGTATAGTGATATCTGTATGCAAAATAATAACCCAGAATATGATGATTGGTTTTCTTTCTAAATATAAGTAAATTAAAAATTGAATTAAATAATTAAAAAGATTTGTTTTCCTGAAAGTTTGGGCCAAAAGCATGGGTGAGCATTTTACATGGGACTTGGCAAAATACAATATATTTATTTGAGTCTTTTTTATTTAGTCTTGCTAAAGGTTTGTCAATTTTATTTATCTTTTAAAAGCATTGCTTAGTTTTGATCTCTAGTATTGCTTGCTTTTAAGGGTTACTAAGGCCATGATGAACTTGTCTTGAAGTTTCATTTGCAGAACAT